TGGATCAGAAAGGCGAAGATGATTATGGTGATACTGAAGACATAGATGCTACTACTCAGGTTCCTCCTACTCAAGTTCCTCCTACTCAAGTTCCTCCAACTCAGGAAACCAATGCTCCGGCTGAATCAAGAACTACTGCCCCTCATCTTCTAGTAGAACAAAAGCTAACAGAAAGAGATCAAGGGCTGCGCAAGTAGGACAGGCTGTATGTTCTTTCTGACAAAAAAAAATGATAGGGTGCCATCCTGAGTTCAGTTGTAATCAGCTCAGAGCTATGGAGGCGTTACACTCGCTGGCTGAGATCAGGATTTGGTCGCCTTTGTACAAAGCGGCTATCAAACATCTCAAGCAAGATGCTAATAACCGGCAGACCTTCTTGTTCTATGAAGATGATGAGAACAAGATTCTCTATCTGGAGTATGCTACTGGTGAAAGTAGATATGCTTGAAGTGTGCTTGAGTGTGCTTTCTGGTTTTTATCTTGAGTGTGCTTTCTGTTTTTTTTTTTTTTATCTTGAGTGTGTTTTCTGTTTTGTATGAACTCCTCCAGTGTGCTTTCTATTTTGTATCAACTTCAGCGTGCTTTGAGACTTATATTATTATATGAGAATTTGCTTTTGGTTATGAGAATCTTTTTTGTTTGGTTCAATGGTTCTAACGTTTTAGGTCTGGTAATGGTTTTGATATTTCAGGTTTGGTGAAGTAAACAAGGTTTGGTGAGTGTTCGAAATGGACAGTGTAAGTCTCTCTTCTCCATTGTGTAGTTATATCCTGTTCTTAAGTAAGATCACTGATAGTAGTTGTGTTGAGCTATGGCTAAGTAAACAAGGTTTGGTATCGATCATAAAATTGCTAGAATAGTTATATCCTAAGATATTGAGAATGTCATTTCAATTTTTTGTGCATATATTCTCTTTGCTTTTTATTCTTCTTTATTTGACACGAGAATGTCATAGACTCACAAACCGTACTCTCCATATACTCTCCATACACGAGAATGCTTTTTATTCTTCTTTATTTGATGCTTGTGAAATGCAAGTGAATATGAAATGCAAAGTTTGATTTGTTTTTATTAATTTTGTAGGACATATTAAAACTTCTTATAGAGGACGATGAGCTTGATGTGTTGTTTGACGAGAAGCAGTACATGTACACT